CAAAGTTGATCGTACACACGTCTACAACATGTTATCAAGGACCTTGACACAATCATCCGGATGAATCCTTTAGCACTTAAGCATGATAAAATTCCAAGTCAATACTCACTACAAATAGAAGTGAACCTAAATCAACCAACACACACTCATAATACTCAAACAATCATAGTTCTTAACAATATCTCCATCCCACAACATAAATTCCCATGAGCTTAAGTTATAACAAATTTGATCTTTAGAAATCAGATACTCATCGATGGATATGTCCAAGCATACAACCCTTCCATCAACACTATCGAAATTCTAGATTTAGTAATTGTAGATTACCTCTTAAGAACAGTAGAATTAGACCCAATGATCCCCACATTCAACCACACATAATCGATACATGACCTCGACGACTAGAGGGATATTAAGATTGCCGGACAACCACAAATACGCATGGTAGCTCTTCTATATATTCTCATAAGCAAGGTGGTACATGTAGAATCACTAAAATACTTTAACAACTCCAAGACAACACCAATTATGTCATTCGAAATAACCAAATCTTCCCAATCTTCCCACTCAACCAAGAGAACATCGCAGGATTTGGTACCCCTGATCCACCACTAGGGATCCACCCACAAAAGTGAAAACACACTAGAGCATAGCTAGTGAATCATACTTACAACACTAACAACCATGATCAACACTCTGACCTTTTACCTTATTATAAACCAACAATTTTTAAAAAATGAAACCTTTCTTAGGTACTTAACAATGAATAGTAGTAAACTTACGACTCACCCTAGGTGTAAGTCCTTTCAAATGCTTAATACCAGATACAATTGATCATTTCTCACCTTGCCAATTCAAACCTTGACAAAATACATCACCACGAATGTAGACTCACAATGAAAACTCTAAATTGTAATTTCCACCATATAACACAATCCATTTCTCTATCAACATTAGCTTGTACCTTGAATATTTTTACGAATTCATGGATCTCCGTTTATCATTGATCGCATCTCCATCGATCTTACCATATATTTTGCTAAAATTTCAATCATGCTCATTACTAGACTCAAAAAAACAAAACCAATCACTGTCATCATACTCAAGCTAATGTCCACACACTCCTTTCTCAAGTCTTTTTCGATAGTTTTTGACCAAGCTGATGGATCCGTGACAATTACCATAGCCACAACAAAACGAATGAAATCAAGCGTCTTTGAACCCAATATCTACCCCTCTAAAGATATCTCTTTAGCCTTTGCAATAAAAAATATATTCTTGCTCTCGCCTCTCTCTAAAGGTTGTACTACCTTCTACTATATTTTTCTTCGTTATGACTCTAGCTCTTTAATTTCTATTCGAATAGTGTCCCACCATCTCTTAAAACTTTCCATACAACCACGTTACTCACCAATATTAGAAAACTACAACCTTAGATACTCGCAAGTCGTAATTACTATACATAAATTCACTTAACCAACAATTTTATTATATAGTTGCATCTCGTCACAATCCATCACGAACTCTTATTACCATTACGCTCAGTCAGCCTTGACTATCACTACGAAGTCAACCTTTTCATCAACACGACGCCTCAAACTCAGGTAAACTCATCAAATTCAAAGGACTAACCCAATTTTTATACTCACTTTCCTACTAAAATCTTAAATTTTCTTCACCGAAGTATACTCAATGGGACTTTCTTTATCCATAAGCTTGTTGTTTCAGTATCAATCCACTCATTTATGGCTTAAGATAAAATCACCAGACCTCATACTGCCCTCATTCTTCTTAACAAACAAGACAGGAGCACCCTACGTGGAAGCACTAGGACGGATGAAATCTTTATCCAGAAGCTCTTGGTTATGAGCCTTAAGCTCTCTTAATTCTGCCGGAGCCATACGATACAGTGGGATGGAAATGGAGCGAGTATCAGGTTCCAAGTCAATGTAGAAATCTATATCTCTATCCGGAGGCAGACCAGACAAATCAGTAAGAAACGTTTCTCTAAATTCTAACACCACAGGAAATAGATTCAATTAGAAGGAGACTCAACCTCAACATCTGAAATATGAACCAATTACGCCAAACAATCCTGCCCCACCAATTTCCTACCCTGCACGAACGATATGACCTTAGCTGACTTAGGCTTGTACACCCCTTCCCACTCTAATCTTTCCCTACCGGGGATCTCTAGATTTAATGACTTAGTATTACGATTAAGCCCGGTATAATAGGGGGACAACCAAGTCATGCCTAAAATTATATCAATTCAGTCATATCCAGCATAACCAAATCAACCCAAATCTGAAAATCCATAAACACAACAGGACAACACCATATACATGTGTGACTATGACTGACTCTTCAACTGGGGTAGAAACATGGATGGGGGCATCAAGTATATCACAAACCACATTAAATCCCAAGGCAATTGAACTAACACATACGAATAAGTAGAACCTGGATCAAATAATACAATAGTCATACGGGCACAAACAAGAGTAGCACTAGTGACCACTGCATCACACACCTCAAACTCGGTCTTGCTCGGAAAAGCATATAATTAAGCCCTATCATCTTGACGGGCAACCTCCTCGCCTGGCTGCACTACTCATCTGCCAGTATTACCATTTTCCTAGCCTCCACGTCCTCGCTGATTTCCTTTTCATATGCCCAGGCTCTCCATAATTTTAACACACTTTATAACTTATATTAGATTGTTGAACACTGAATTAGATCGTGGGGGTTAGTTCAAATTCGATTTAGGTTCTATAAGGAGACCTGGGAAAAACAGAGGAGACAGGGCTAAGGTTCTGTCTCGCCCTATCCCATTCTAGCGGGGAATTTCTGCTCTAGCGAAAAGATCCCGTCCTAGAGGCTCCGACGGAAATAGTACCCAGGCAATAAATTTTTCTGGGGGTTTTTCTCTTTTCTAACTCTCCCAACGGGTTTCAGATTTACTGAGCAATTTAGGATAATTCTCTGAACTAGGATAATCATTGTCTACCCCAAGTCAATCCAACGATACACAATCCAACTCATTCTTATTAATTCAACACCATAACCCACACATCCCAGGATACACCCAGACACTCATGCGGTTATTACTCAATCGCAAGACACGTCCAGATCTTTCTTACGAATCACATTGTACATTATTTAGACCCTTGCATCGAACTTAGTTGTGAGCTTCTTTTCACAACAAGTTCCACAATACTCAAGTAGTTACAACTTGCAGATAAGTCCAAATTCTTTAATTAGTTCATTCCATAAACGACCATTACTGATCATTTATGCCTTATATGACCCCTAAGGCCAGATACCATTGGAACCTTCTCAGTTCCAATTAATTTTCTTGTGTCCCTTCAGCCGGAACTACGGCGTCTAGTTCACTTCATTAAGATACCAATTGGAATCGGGAGATACCAATTAGACTCAACTCATACCACAAGCGACAATAGTAGCTAGCGAGCCCCACAAAACTGCTAATTTCAATCATAGAACTTGGTCGAACCCAATTCTTAATTGCCTCAATCTTTAACAGAAGGTAACCAGACCTTAAATCAATATTAGAGAAAAACTTATACACCTTGCAATTGGTCAAAAAGATCATCTATTCGAGGCAAATGATACTTGTTCTGAATGATGACCCTATTCAACTGTCGGTAGTATATACACATCCTTTCTTGCTAGTGATGGTGTTACCACTTTTGTTGCTCTAGTTCGGACTATAGAGTGAAGGAGGAAAGATACTAATTTGTATCACCCAGATACCAATTGGTTTCAAGTCATAGCACGAATGAGTAGAAAGAAGTAAGTTTTTTCCTAAAGTCCTATAGCCTCTCGAAGAAAAGTACGGACGTCATCATATCGTTCCGTAAGACTCTACTAGACTCGTTTTGGTACAATGAGATCAACAAACCTAGGGCTCTGATATCAACTTTGTCACGATCCAGACCGTCGTGAGTGACACCCACACTAACCCTTCAATGGGAGAACCAAAACTATAGCCCAACTAACAAATTTTATGAACACTAAGGCATTTAAAGATATGGAAGCAGGTTTAAATGTCAATAAAAATGGAGTTCCCATAAACTCTAAGGTTTTAACAAACAACTAACCAAACTAATGCGGAAGAACAACCCCTAGAACCTGAAAGTCATTGTACCAAAACTCTACTAACGACAAGTCTAAGAACAAGGAGTACAACCCCGAAACTAAACAACCCCTTAAACAAAAGTCGAAGTCCAAAAAGAGTGGACTTAAACAAGAAAGATCCATGGCAGCCTGAAAGAACTGGCTCACCTTTGAATCCGGTCACCCTCAATAGTCACCTAACTGAGGTCTATCAATAGCCATATGAAGGTGCTTTGTACTCAACAAAGAAAGAGCAAGTGCAATATCAGTACACAACCACAGTGTACTAGTAGGATCACACGGCTATCCCATTAAGTGCAACATACATAAGTCATTACAATAATATAATAACATGCATACACCGAATATACACAATATTGATATCATTTACGAAAAACAAACAATTTCACATTTATCAAGATGTACAATTATGTCAAATCAATGGTCTTCTTATGGAAACTATACCCATACTGTTAGCATACCAGAACGTGGTACCCGATCCAATATTTATGACGGAATGTGGCAATCGATCCCATGTTTATATCGGAATATGGCAACCGATCTAATGTTTATGCCGAACGAGGCAACCCATCTAAGTTAGTGTGTCAGAATGCAACACCCGATCCATTCAACAAGCCACAATCACAAGTATATTCTCAAAATCATACAATCAAGTCATGATTCATGGCGTTCATCATTCATTTATCTTCATCCACAAGTAGTGTGATCAATAATGCAACATTCACATACATACACGTATTATAATGAAGCAAGAACAAACATATATCACACAATCATGAAATCACAACCATCACCTACCTCGAATTCAAGCTTGAATCCCCTAAGGCACTTGAATCTTCCATTTCCCAATTCTTTCCGCTTGTTCATGGTCTAAAAACATATAATTATCGCAAGGATCAATAAACGAGGCCTAATTACCCAAATTATAATCAACAGTATCAACCCTAGGCCATACCCATGATCCCAAGTATCCAAATTAGGGCTTTTTCCACCATAGTTTTTAGATCAAAACCCTTTCCCATCGATAATTACCCATTAGATTACATTCTATGGATCAAAAATGGTTTTGGGGAGTTAAAATCTTACTTCAGCCTTAAGAATGGTGGTGTAACACCCCTTATCTGAAAGCATACCAAATTTCAGATTTTCAGAAGTTGCAGGTGCAACCTACGGTCGCCACCCACAGACTGTGGTCTGACCCACAGCTCGTGTTGTGGGTCTGTGGTTCACCACTGCAACCCCTCCCCAAACCCAGCTTAGAAAATTTGGCTAAGTCTCGATCCACGAATAGACCTATGGTCCGTAGGCCAGATTACGGTTCGTGGTCTATGTCCGTGGATCGAGGCCCCCTTTACCCAGCCTCTGACATGAATGATGGCCAACTAGTATGGACTATCGTTTGATCCACCATCCGTAGGTCTGCTCATAGGTGAAGGTCAGCAACCAGTTAGGGGGAAATTGTTGATTGGGTCAACTTCAAATGGTCATCATTCTTATCACAAAAGGAATTAGTGTCACATGACTTACTATATAATAGATAATTGAATTCTCTTTCCAACGCCACTGAGTTTGCTAAAATTGCATCTCCGAGTAAGAAGTTATGCTCGTTTTAGTGAAGCCCTGTCGGGCAGACTTGACCTACGACCCCAACCTACGGACCGTAGGTTGACCTACGGCCCGTAGGTCCCGTCCGTCGGTCACTCCGAAAATAGTTAAGTCGGGGGACTTTTGGTCTTTTCCTATTTCGTTTAACCCCTACGCTACGTCGTCTAGACTTTAAATTATAAGGTTTTAGTCAATTTAAGCCTAGAAACATAACTAGAACTTACCTAAGTCAATTCTTTAATCAAAACTTAGAAACTTAGAGCGTAAGAGGAGAAAAGAGGTCAAGAACCCTAGTTCAAGAATGCAATAAGGTTCCATCAGTTCCAATCCCGAAATTGAATAATTTCTCCATGGAATTCGTCACCAGGTATGTGGGATTTCACTAGTGGGTTCCTTTCACCCATTAGGTCCCTAGTTTTCAGTCAGTTTCTTGATTCCCTTATTATGACTAGACCTAGGGTTTCTTGAATGTTAGAAATATTGGGTTCTTAGCTGTTAGAATTATCCAAATCAGATTAGTATGTTAATATTCAGTTTATTGCATGAATTCCAGAATCCTAGCTATGTATTTCCTTAGCCCTTGAATTACACATGCTAGGTAAGATATTTCAGTTATTCAGTTATACATGCCTCTGTTATTAATGCATCAATATCAGTTTAATTGTTGCATACTGAGTTTGCATGTTCAGTTTGAGCTATCCAGTAACTTGCAGAAATTCAGTCATAATGTGTTAATTACTTAATCTATTGGGAGTAGCATAATATCGAATTGGACTAGGGTTCAACGTACCCAAATAGTCCCAGAACTACTAGCCACATAGGTTGTAAGTCCCCTCTGTGGGAATCATTTCAGTGATCACGCCAGCATGCCTCTATACCTCTGGCAGGGTATATTGCGTCCTCTCGATGGGGTGTATACATCAGACTCCACATTTAGCTCATGTGGTTTTACTATCGGTTATTAGTAGCTCCCACACTTCAGTCAGATTCTATTGCATTGACCATTTATCAGTATATCCAATATTCAATTTTAACATGTTATAAATTGGTCACTGCATTCAGTTAGCTCAGTTATAAAATTGGGTGTATATGATTGCTTATTTGCTTTGTTCAGTTATATGTTATTTCAACTTTATTTTATCCTGCATGCTCAGTACCTTTCAAGTACTGACGCATACTCTGTGCTACATTTTCTCGTGATATAAGTTCAGGTTCTCAACATTCAGATCACGCTTAGATCACTTCCCGATCGTCAGTTCAGTAGCATATCAGTGGTGAGTCTTCGTTCTTCGAAGACCGTGACATGTTTATCTTTTCGGTACTTTTAGTCCTTTAGTTTCAGTTTTGCTAGATCTAGTTGGGGCATGTCCCAACATTTCTAGTCAGTTTAGAGGCTTATTTCAGACATAGTTAGATTCAGCTTAGAATTGAGTTAATATCTTCTTTGTATTAAACTCATCAGTTTTTATATATCTCAGTTATAGTATATGGGTATTACCCATTTTTTCATTTTATTTATGATTATAGCTTCCGCATCAGTTTATTATTCAACTTATCTTTAGTATGCTCATGATCATGCCAATAGGGTTAGCTTGGGATCACTTGTGGTCCTAGGTCCCGTCTCCGCATCTCGGGGGTAGTCTCAGGGTGTGATAGGTGGAAACTGTCAAGAATCGTCTGCGGTTCGTTCCTTAGCTCTAAAAATAAAAAAATTACAGAATAAAGATGTTTTGGGGTTTATTTACGACCTTAAGTCGTGTCTGGCCCGCCACAGCGGCCCTCACCCCGCTATAGCGAGCAACCAAAACCACCGCCAAAGCAGCTTGCACGAAACAGTGAGTTATTTTAATAATTTCAAGACCCCCATTTTACAACACACCCTTAACCAACGACGTTCAAAAAAATACCGTTCACGCTAAGATCGATTCCAGGAGTTTTACTCACCTGAATTTAATTCTGTAAAGTCGTACGGATTCCTTAACGACTTATCTAACTACTCATGTAATCAAAATCATAATTAGATCGTCCAATTGCTACCAGATTTTCCTACATCTTAATGACTCCGATTTCGTCCAAATCTGGACTAGGTTGGGAAATTCCAAGTTACTACGAAAAGTTTTTCGGTCCAAATTTTTTCCCATTTGGCTTTTCCATAACGATGGAACCCGGTCGTTACAAGTATGTTACATTTAGTTTGCAAGAACTACAGAACATTATACTGGGAGCTTGCTAGAAAGGCTAAAACATATCAGTCTTTTTTGTTTTTTCGAGTAAGCCCATGGTTGCGGAAGCAGTACTACAAACTTCTTGTTTGAAGGCTATATCTTGTTCCTTTTAGTGTTCAATCTGGAACGATTCACCATTGAATTTTCAGTGTGTTGCTGCCATTGTAGTGGCAATTTGTTCCATAATGTCCACTGGGGAATTGCCAAAGCATATCCCAAATAACAGGTTGTTAGCCGAATGATGCAAATCTTATGAGATAGTTGCAAAACAATTCAAGCTGTACTAATTAACATTTCACATTAGGATATCATATAATAGAACATTCATAAATATTTAAGCTAATCTTTATCAGCTTTCGATTACTTGATTTAGAGTATTGGATCTTGAAACTGCATTGTGCTCACATGCACGAAACTATCACTCTAGTTAAAGCTAAATGTTACAAGTCTTGTTCCTGAATTAGAAAAATAGTAAAAATAAATGAGAGGTGAAATTTGTTTCACCCTGCGATATATGCTCTCATAGCAGGCCAGGAAAAGCAAGATGGTATGGTAATGAAAGTGCAATCAAACTTACACTATTACTCCAGTTAATGCTAAAGGTTGGAAGTTTTGTTTCTGAATTAGAAATACACAAGTAATGAGAGGCAGAATTTCTTTCACCTTGCCATACATGAATACTCCAATCGGTTCCACCCATACTTATTTTCGATCAGCTAATTACTGTCAAATCGAACCCATGACTAAATCAGCCAAAAAAACATTGACATATACATTGAAAATCAAGCAGATGACTTCTCAAAAATCTACACAAAGTTGCTTCGTCAAACTTTGTTAAATGCAGTGTAGCCTAAATAACAAAAATAACAGAAAAGTCAATCCAAGTATGACTAATATTTTTAAATAAATAGTATTGTAGTAAAGCCTAGGGATCTTCAATTTATCGAAATATAAATAATTGTGTACTCCTGTGATGGGCTGTTCTTCTAATTGTCTCTTTGTTTGTATATTCATCATTGTGGGGTTATTCCACTGTAATTTCTAGATTTTTATTTCAACTATAAGTTTTGATTTAGTTGGCGATAACATTTAGGTGTATTGCTGAGAGTGGACTCACAGGTAATTGGAGACGATGGGTTCCAAGAAGAGGAACTAAACCAGTAGTCCATATTGGAAAAAACTTTATCAGGATTTTGAGATCTTCTACTTGTAGCACTGTACATAGTCTCCATGGCTCAGCAGCGACTCTGTCCGGTTTCTTATCTTTTTCTGTGATCAAAGCTGGTTTGTGCAGGAACCTATTAAAACCGAGAACACTTCATTGAAAATGTATAAGTATCTTCTATACTATGACTGAAATCATAAAGACACATTTTAATTAAACTTAAGTTCTATTACCCCTGAATCCATTTTTTTGTAATTTTGTGCACCTTTTTGGCTTGCGTGACATCCAAATATCTCCACTCGCCTCAATTGCGTAGAGTCACTCAGTGTGCCACGTAAGATAAAATGTGTACAAAATTACAAAAAAAATAAGTTCAGGGGTAATAGGACCTTAGTTTAATTAAGGTATGTTTTTGGAATTTCGGTCATAGTCTAGGAGATACTTGTATCTTATCCCTTCAAATTTCAATAACCTTGAAACTAAAACGGTTAATTTTCAAATAAAAATCTACATCTTGAGTCCCCAAAAGCAAAAGCAGGGAAAATAATTCAGAGGGATGAGCGACAAGACTCATCAATATTTCGTTTGTGATCAGGATATTGCAAAGAATCTTACAAAATTATTTAGTTGTTCCACGCATATCATCGAACACCTTGGATTCATCAATCTTCCCCCAAAATTATGGCAATTGTATAAAAAAAAAAGTAATACATGCATATAGAAAATGTAGCAAAATATTATACGGTACTATGAGTATGATCAAATTCAGAAAATTAAAAACAAAGAAGAAGCAGCAGCAAACCGAAAAGGGAAAAATGGAGTGCCATTTTTCCTTCTTTGGTAATTGTTAGTGGGAA